TCAAACTGCAAGACAAGTGAAGTCCTGACATCACAACTTAAGGCGGAAGGAAGGGAAGGATCGAAAACCGGAACATTTCAATGCAGGCACAGGACAGCTCGGTGATTTGAGAAAGGGGTCTGGCTTTAAAAATGGTCGAGACGATAGGAGAAGCAGCTTCCACCACGAAGAGGAAGGACACGGTTTCCCAGACGCCCCAGAGAAGATGGCGGAGAAGCAGGAACTACCGTCCTCCGCGTGTCAACCCCTCCAACACAAAACGTGAAGAACACAAGAAAATCGCTTGAGGAGACCCTGGCCGCCTGCACAGCTTTTTCCTGCAGAAGGAGGTGCCCTGTCGGGGGGGACAATGCCACACACGACATTTATTCACGAGAAAGACAAGTGAGCACCAAGATGTTGGGTAGGAAGGGGTGAAGCGGCTACCGTCTGAGCGGACACAGGCGGGGGTGTGATCAGGGCGGCTGGCCCTGGGTAGGAAGCTCACCCCGGGGCCCTGAAGGCAACAAGTGCCAGTGGCCAGTGGTCTGGCTGCACAACCAGAGCCCTTGCCCTGGACCAGTTCCATCCCGGCTCTGTCCCTCAACTCAGGAAGTACGCTGAAAGCAAGGGACTGTCCTCTCAAGTTCTTCTGACATTGGACAATGTCCTGGCCACCCAGAACCCCACGGGTCACCACCAAACGTGTCTCGGCGGCTCACTCGCTCTGGAGCGCAGCGGGTCCAAGTCAGCCTGTGGACCAGGGGCCACGAGGACCTGTGAGGCTCATGACACAGGCACTTTGCAGGAAGGACAGTCAATGCTACCGAAGAGAACCGCCACGGGGGGAACATTTTGAAAGCCGGGAAGATGCCACGGGACGTTACAAACAACTCCGTGAAACCGTCAAGCCCAACACAAACGAAGAAATCCCTGCCGGAGAGGACCGTCCAAACGACGCGCGTGATTTCACAGGACGTGCGACACAGCCAATCGGGGAAATCGTGAGTGGGACTGTGGAGACGGCAGAAAGGGCTGGAGGATGAAGGGATTCAAGATGCGGATCCCGAAGAGGGCCAAGAGCTCAGGGAAAAGCCCAGGGGAGGTCGCAGGAGACGGCGGCGCAGAGAGGAGAGCTGGTGAAGCAGCCGGAGGGCGAGGAAGGCGGCAGCGCTGGGAAGCACGCCGCCGCGAGGAGCGCCCCGGCAGAGGCTCGGCTCCTTTCACCACGCGGACCTTGCCGAGGCCTGGGTGCGGGGACCACCGCCAACGTCTGCGGAGACGTTGACAGGGAAACGGGAAGGCACGGAGGGAGACAGAAACTCACTTCCGGAAAGCTGCATCGAGGGTGCCCGCCTCCCCCCGCTCCCGCCCCCCGGGCCCCGAGACCCAAGACGGCCCCACCCAGAGGGTCCCCCCCCACCCCAAGCAGGTCCGCACACGAGGACCTCCGGGATGACCCGCCCCCGCTTCCCGGACAGCAAATCCTCACCACGGCGCCCAGCGAATCACCTCGCCTGCCAGGCGCGTGTCTGTGTGTGAAAATCGAGGGAGCGCACGGCGAGGCCAGGCGAGACGCGTGCGTGTCGCCACCACCGAGGCGTCCATCGGGAAGAACGTCGCGTGCGAGACTTGTGTGCGGTTGGACAGCCTGTCCTCGCACGCACGGGCATAAGGGGGGTGAGATCTGACCTAAAATGAGTAACGTGTTGTCTCATAGCTTGGCTTTCAAAGAACGACATTACCTTGCAGCGTGCCTCTCTCGGTCCCTGCGGAAGATGCCTCCCGGCCTACTATCTCCGGCGGTTTTGTTAAGGTAACAATGTGTCCAGCGCTGTACTGTGAATCCGGCTGTAAAAGCATCGGCTGGGCCGAGACGAAGCAACGAAGCAACCAACCTACTGATTACACCAGGCCCAGGCCGTCATGAAGCATTCACCCTGATACGTCTGGTTGTGAGTACATGAATTGTTACGCCTGCAAATAAACGTGAACCTTTCGCATTCTTCTCATTTCTGACGCCTAGTGCTAGCAACACACGTAACCGCAGCTCTTTCTGTCACGGAAGACACGGCACCGACGCGGGTTCTGACAGACGATTCATCCTGTAATCCGATAATAAGCTTAGGTATCAAGACAGCACGGCACTGTGAATCTGCTTTCCCTGTCACTTAAAATTTTTTTCCTAGCTTCCTTTAAGAATACAGTATAATGAACTACTGGGACCACATCAAAGTAAAAAGCTTCTGCACAGCAAAGGAAACAATCGGCAAAAGTAAAAGGCAACCGACAGAATGGGAGAAGATATTTGCAAACGACAGATCAGATAAAGGGTTAGTATCCAAAATCTATAAAGAACTTATCGAACTCAACACCCAAAAAATAATCCAGAGAAGAAATGGGCAAAAGACATGAATAGACACTTCTCCAAAGAAGACCTCCAGATGGCCGACCGACACATGCTCCACGTCACTCATCATCAGGAAAATACACATCAAAACCACACTGAGACACCACCTGCCACCGGTCAGAATGGCTCCCATGAGCAACTCGGGCAACAGATGTTGGCGAGGATGCGGAGAGAGAGGGTCTCTTTTGCACTGCTGGTGGGAGTGCAAGCTGGTGCAGCCATGCTGGAAAACAGTGTGGAGGGTCCTCAAAAAAACTAAAAATAGAACTACCCTAGGACCCAGCAAATGCACTACTAGGCATTTATCCAAGGGATACAGGTGTGCTGTTTCGAAGGGACACACACCCCCATGTTTACAGCAGCGCTATTGACAATAGCCATGGTATGGAAAGGGCCCAAATGGCCATCGACGGATGAATGGATAAAGAAGATGTGGGATATACATACAGTGGAGTATTACTCAGCAATCAAAAAGGATGAAATCTTGCGGTTTGCAACTACGTGGATGGAACTGGAGGGTATTATGCTAAGTGAAATTAGTCAGTCAGAGAAAGATAAATATCATATGACTTCACTCATATGAGGAATTTAAGAGAAAAAACAGACAAATATAAGGGAAGGGAAGCAAAAATCATAAAAAAACAGGGAGGGGACAAAACAAAAGAGACTCTTAAATACGGAGAACAAACGGTTACTGGAGGGGTTGTGGGAGGGAGATGGGCTAAATGGGGGAGGGGCATTAAGGAATCTACTCCTGAAATTTTCACTATATGCTAACTCATTTGGATATAAACTTTAAAAAATAAAAAATAAAAAAATAATAAGAATACAGTATATAATGCATACAACATACAATACAAGTAGCAATGGACTATTTGTGTTACTAGTAAGGTTTCTGGACAACAGGAGGGTATTAGTAGTTAAGTTTTGGGGGGAATCAAAAGTTATACATGGATTTTCGACTGTGGGCAGGACGGCACTCCAAACCCCAAGTTGTTCAAGGAACAGCTGTACTCATCCATGAGGAATAACAAAGCAAGCAGCACTGTTGTAATCAACAACAGAAAAGAGTAAAATAGAAAAAGTTTTTCTTTTTTAATTTTTTAATGTTTTTATTTATTTTTGAGAGACAGAGTGCGAGTGGGGGAGGGGCAGAGAGGGGGGAAGACACAGAATCCGAAGCCGGCTCCAGGCTCCGAGCCGTCAGCACAGAGCCCGACGCGGGCTTGAACCCACGAAGCGTGAGATCATGACCTGAGCCAAAGTCAGATGCCTAACTGACTCAGTCACCCAGGCGCCCCAGAGATATTTTTTCTTGACTGTGGTTATTTCAGGGGGAGCACACCGAAGGGGATGGGGAGGCAGGTAATTTACAGAAACTGTGAGTGTTTTCATGGGTGTATAATAAGCTAATGGTCATTTCACCTAATTTACCTTGTAAACCAGAGTATCGTCTTCTAGAGTCCACAGCTATGGGTGATCAGCTTTCACCTTCCCAGCATAAGAAGGCCCTACAGACCCGCTCCCCCAGGAAACCTGGGGAGAATTATGCCTAACAACAACGATTCAGTCTCCAAAGCCATGCAAAGCACACAACAAATGAAGAAACACCAATTTTTTTTTTAAGTCTATCATGATTCACTAAGGAAGGGGAGTCTGTAATATCTGAGCCCAAACTGACCCCCCCCCCCACCTCCCACTTCCTCCCAGCTCAGGGAGGTGGACATTCCACTGCAGAGGCTACAGCCAAGAGCATGGGAATCCCGTGCCCCCCCAGCTACCCGTCTGCTACAGAGGCCGCATCCTGGGCACGAGTGGCGGGAAGGCCGGGGCACCCTGGTTCTGCCCAACCCCGCTCAGGTAAAGGAGGCCGGAACCCTGGCTGGAAGGGGCAGGCTGAGGCGGCCGGGCCACGGCCATCTTTGCCCTTGCTCTCTGCCGAGACGGTGATGGACCCCAGGCTGCTGCCCACCCTCCACCAAGTAAGTGCTCAGCCCCTAGAGCAGGGGTGTCCCCGGACAAGCTTGCCACTGTCCCCAGCCCTGGTTCAGAGGTGTTGCCGAGGGAGACGAAGGGCAGGAAAAGAGAGGACTCCTAACCTCCTTCCAAAGGAAGGGACGTCACGGGCAAAGTTTAAAGCCAGAGGAGGCCGTACTGAAAGGCAACTGGGCAGAGACTCAGCCCAGACTGCAGGGTGGCCCTTGTGCAGGAGAGAGGAGATTAAGGCAACCAGAGGAACCCTCCCAGGGCCAGGACAGTATCAAACACTGACTCAGGTACAATTCCCAGGAAGGAAGCAGAATCTGCCCGGTTTAGTTTGCAGAGGCATTTCTAGCCCAGAGCATTATTGACAACAACAGAGCAGATGGCTGGCGGTGAGCGCAACTCACAGCTGACGGTGGTCAGGGAACCAGCGGGAGAGCACCCGACAGGTGCCACGGGCACCCACCTCACTGCAATCGTCTGGCTCTTCAACAAACTGCTTACGATGTTCAAGTCATTTCCTAGATATTTCAGGGCAATTCACCCCACACACGCGCACACAAACACACACACACACAAACACACGCACACACACACGGACATACACACACACACACACACACACACACACACAGTGCTCTTTGGACACAAGGTTGCTCCTGCTAAAGAATACAGACAACCCTTTACTTTACTTCAGTATTTCAAGGCATACCTGCAAACACAAAAAAATTACAGTGAAACGAAATGACAACAATCCAAACGTGTCTTCAAACCTGACAAAGTCTGTTGGGTGCTGAGCTGTCTTCAGAGGCCCAGAAGGCAGCACTGAGAAACGGGCCCCGCGGTCAGGAAGCCAGGATCTCCCAGCAAGGTCTCGCAGAGATTCCGTCCACGGGAACCCGAGGGAATCAGACCAAACCCCTCGCTTTCCATCTGCTCTGGTAAATAACTTTAGCTGACCGCCAGGTCATCCAATGCCTAATGTTGAGAGATTTGCATCTAATCTTCAAGACTTCGTATCAGAAAATACTGTTCCTGTTGTAGGTGAAGGAGAACCAGACTCAACGCGGCGTCAGCGAGATGCGCGGTCACTCACACGGCAGGCAAGCGCAAGGGGCAGGTGGCTGCAGGCCCGCCTGGTTCAGGGCCTCGGGTTTTTATCTTCATATTTTGTCCCCTTGTGCAGGAATCTGGGTCAATTCACTAATTCTGTCTCTAATTATGTCCGGTCCAAGTTCATCGTTCCAGCCAACACCGTCTTCATTCACTAGACTTCAGACTGTTTTCTGTCCTGCCCTCCTTCTCTGGTATCATTTCTGTTTGCTTTAGAATTTGTTTCCTCAGGGATGTTATCTTTTTAAACATCTCAAACACACTTACTTTGACAGTTTTACCAGACTACCCATGCGTTCTGGAAGAAGCAAATGCATCGTTCTGTAAGGGGCCGACTCTGGAGGCTGTGGGATCTGGCTTCCAGCTCAACCCGCGTAGGTTATACCGCCGGCACTTCCCTCCCTGCCTAGAGTCCAGCCACTGCCCCTCCGGGCCTCCCAAGGCCTCAGGCCAGAACTAGGCTTCCACGGTGACAGAGAGTTCCCACTGCCTGGCTCCTTACAGACGGTGTAGACCTTGTGAGAGAGTCACCGGACGTTGTGGCACAGCCCAGGCCCTGCTTCCTATCCTCCCAAGGCCCACAACTTCCCACAAGGCCCCAGTGTACTGGGGACAGTGACCTTAACGTGGGGAAGCCTCATCTAAAACCAGCTCCAAAAAGCGAGTCTGATTTGAGTTCTAATTCCACCGGACACCTTGGTCCCTGTGACCCCGGGCGACAGGAGCCAAGCTTCCTACTGGCCCTGCATGCTCGGTGCTTGGAGCACAGCAGGCGGGGGAATCTGGCCAACTCCAGCTTACCGCACTGGGTTTCTATTCCGTTTCTATACTGAGGGGTATTTTTCTCTTCTGGGGGTGTGGCTGTATTGTTTCGTTTGTCTGTTTCTCTACTTACATTTCACTCTCCCACTGCCGTTGGGAGTGAGCTCTGTCGAAGCACGTTTGTGCTGCCATCCCGACTGGAAGTCACGATTCGTTCGAGCGACGGCTGCACGGCAGACAGGCGGGCCCGGCCCCTCCGCAGGGCGCGGAGCACACAGACAGACCAACAAGAGGCCCAGCGCGGTCCGCGCCCCGAGTGAGAAAGGCCCGGGCTACGGGGTGGGGGTGGGGGTGGGGGGGTCAGCACGGACGTCGCGTGTGGTGGGAGGCAGGCGCGCTGACCCGGAGGCCCACCGACGGAGACGGCACGGTGGGTGAACCGTGAGCCGTGTGGCAGGAGAGCCTCGTCATGAGAGCAAAGCGGCGTCTGGGAGTGGGGAGGACGTCAGGGGCTCGGGCAGCGTGTGGGAAGCGGTAAGGGAGGCTGGGCGGGCAGAGGCCAGACTGCAGGCCCACGCGCACCCCGGTACGGAGCCCGGATCTCATCCCGAAGGCTCCGGGAGTCGTCCATCTACAGACTCTGAGGGCCCTCCCGAGGGAGCAGGCCAACCGTTCAAAGTCCCAGGCAGTGCTCAGACACAAAGGGTTCGCTGAGTCAACGAAAGCCCCCGGGAGCAGTGCAAAAGCGGGGCTGGGGGAAGAGACGAGTGGCACAGCAGCTCCCAGGCCACGGCAACCCCCCCGGGAAAGAGGAGTGGTCTGAATCAAGACCAGGGTTAGAGAGCTGCCGCAGCCCGAGAGAGAATTCTAAGACGGAACACAGCATCCCACGTGCCTCCACTTGCTGTGCCCTTCATCAGTCTTAAAGGGTCCCCTGGAAGGAGGGGGAGGCCAGAAGTGAGGAGGCAGGTCAGGCGCTGCGGTAACACGCAGGCCCAGGGCACGGGAGAGGCAGGCGGGTTCCCAACAGGCTTTACGGTAGTGCCTGCTGACAGACGGGCGGGAGAGAAAGGCCCAGGCCGACTCCAGCAAGTGAAGGACAGAGTCCCCATTTCCTGAGCGGGGCGGGGCTCTGGAAGAGAGATCTAACAGCCCGCGTGGGCGTGCTCCATTTGGGACGTTACACGACAGTCAGCGGGCAGCACGGAGCAGAGCTGAGGCCCCCAGCTGGAGTTCGGTGTCGGTGCAGGTAGGAGAGCACCCTCGTTCCAGGCCAATCACAAGGCACTGAGTGTGGATAAGAAGAGAGGTGAGGTCCCAGCCATGTGCCCATCTAACACCGGACGGTGAGAAAACAAGGGATGGACTGGGAGTGGTCGGCAGGCAGGAGGGAACCAGGGAGGGGCCGTCTCAGGAGTCAAGGGCTCTCCGCATGTGTGACCCTGGCAGAGGGGTCAGCTGACTGACTGCCTAGAGGAGGTCAGTGGGGGGCCTCCAGCACGGCAGTCCTGGAGCAGGGGGGGCAGGCCTGCTGCCTGCACAGAGGGAACCAGGGACAGGAGGAGAGGCAACAGAGCCATGAGCCGGGGTGGGGGTGGGGAGGTGGGGACAGAACTAGGGTGGTGGCTACGCAAGTCACAGGCTCAAGAAAGGCCTTGGGGGGTGACCCAGATGCCTGCTGGTGGGGAGAAGCCAGGGGAGAGGGGGCCGACAGAGCGGCCACTCTGCGCAACTGAGAGCAGATCACGGGGGTGGTGCGGTAGCAGACGGCCTTCCCTGGGAGCACGCAGCCCCCTGAGCTGGAACGGCAGCTGAACACGGGGGCGCGGACACGGACGGCCTGGCAGTTGTGTGGTGGGGTTTACGGAAGTCCTCTTCTGCCGTCTCCCAGTGTCACTGCAAGTGACATGCAGACAGACTTGCATAAGGCGTGAGGACGGGCAAGGAGCACTGAGGAGGAGGAGGGCTGCCTGGAGGAGAGGGCCCCCGAGGCCACCGGTCACGAAGGTGGATGCGGGAACACACTTGACCGGCGCAGCCTCCTGCCGGGTAAGGACGGTGAAGTGAAGGCAGGGACGGGGCTGAGCAGCAGGCCAGGCTGTGGTGAAAACAGACCACAGGACTGCAGGCAGGTGAGGAAGAAAGCAGAGACGTGGGGGGGGACAAAGGACCAGAACACCAACACCCTGGCAGGGTCACAGGACCATAGGTCCAGGAGGGCTGGATATCAGCGCTTTATTTTTAAACGTCTCACCATCTATTCCCAACAAAGCTCACTGGCTTTCAACGAAATACCTGGTCAAAACACCACAAGCAGACTCCAGAAGCTTGCGGGGCGTGAGAACAGGGCTCCAAATTCCCAACATGCTCCAGCTAGGAGGCGCTGGTCACCGCACAGCCTCCCGATCACTCCTGCGCCCCCAGCTAGGAGGAGACGGGACACCCCACAGCCTCCCTGATCTTGGCGACAGGCCCCTGGGAACGGATGGGACCCGGCCTAGCCCCACCTGCACTCAGCTATGAGCCCCTTGCCTCCACACCCCCACTGGCGCACTCTTCCTGTAACACTCCTTCATCACCAAAGTCCAAAGTCTCATTACGTTTTTCATAAAGTCCCAAACTGTCTTGGTTCATCTATTAAGAGAATATGTTTACTTCCCATTGTTTTGGTTAAATGAGTTTCTTACAACAAATTCAACAGCCAAATCATTCCACGATACACCACTTCGGCCACAGCAGAAAACAAATTTATGAAAACTTGACAACTACTTTTACTCCTTAAAGAAAAACCTTTCTCTTCAGACAAAAGAATTCAAGTGAAAAGAATCGAAGCAAATTTAAACTTAGGAGTTTAGATAAACATTCGACAGGAAATTCCAGAGTTTAAGATCCCAAAAAAACACGTTCATATGTGCACTGTTTGTATTATTATTGCAGAGAAAAACTGGTGTAGCTCAAACAGCCCCAAATACGAGCAGTAAATGACCTACGCAGTGACCACCAAGAAATCCACGGGTCAGCAGCCACACTTTCTCCTCTTCAGAAAGAATGTTTGTTTAGGGGTGCCTGGGTGGCGCAGTCGGTTAAGCGTCCGACTTCAGCCAGGTCACGATCTCGCGGTCCGGGAGTTCGAGCCCCGCGTCGGGCTCTGGGCTGATGGCTCAGAGCCTGGAGCCTGTTTCCGATTCTGTGTCTCCCTCTCTCTCTGCCCCTCCCCCGTTCATGCTCTGTCTCTCTCTATCCCAAAAATAAATAAATGTTGGAAAAAAAAAAAAAAACCACTGCACACCAAGCATCCTACTAGCAGTGACATTCTATTTACCATAACCGAAGTTTGAAGTATTTTTTGCAACTGAGTAGATGTAATAGTCACTGGAATATTCCCATTTTAAATAGAAATCTGAGCAAAGCAGATGTGTGTTTCTTTGGACATTCCCAGAACCGAGAACAAGAAAAGCAACACTAAACCATCACACGTTGGTGTTTATCATTTTAGGACAAGAGGCCCAGATCTGGGTAACGGGTTCAGATCGTACGAACCAGACACTGTTCATAAAAATCCACCATCAGGCCACTTTTAAACGAAGTCCCATGGCTCGGATGCGACACTCAACTCCCAAAGTGACGAACACAGTTGTCCCCGCGGCTCCAGGAGGACGACTCTGGGTGGAAAGCACGGGTGACGCCTCGCACCCACCCCCAGCTCGGAGCCCTCCCTTGTCCTGCGCCCTCCCCCTGGTCGCCCGAGTGACATCACCACAGCTTGTGGTTTTGACCGTGTCCATCACTGGCCCCATTTTCTTTCTTAATGACTTTTCGCCGTTCTGCTAACCTGCTGACACAGAGCAAAGCCTCACAGAAGGCACAGAACCCGTGTGTTCTCAGTGCAGAGACACAGAGCACAACAGAAACAGGCTGTAATTTTCAGCAAACGGAAAGGAACACCTGAAAACCTGACATGCTGAACTGGCTTGGATTATTTTCTGTCCATAGAAGCTGTTTGCCTCCATTTGAGGTTTAAAAGCATGTCAAATCTGGACTAAAAAGAAAACGGGAAGTTTATACACTGAAACTAATCAGCAAATCTTAGGCTCTAAACCCCCACTGTCTTGATGAAAAGTAGGCTCAGCTATCCATCTATGGGTATGAGAAGTTTCTGGATAACCATCTATGTGGTAACCTACTGACGGGAGAGCAGACAGACCAGGGGACACTGAGGAAGCAAACAGCAAACTTTCGCCTCCGTAGCACGTGACCCGTGGACGCACTGGACGTTTAGAGCCATGTAAATGCAACAGCACTCGACTTTCAATCCCCGATCACTATTTGCAAGCATCAGAGTAAAATTCATGAGCAGTTAAAAAATCCCAATACATACAATGTATTTTTCCTTGTCGGTTTAAGCAACAGATACTGAAAAAATGTATGCTCGTTCTTAGTACTTAGAAATGAAATCATCAAGATCGTGTAACCTGAGTCCAAAAAGGCCTGGTGCAGAACAGTATTTCAACGTGACCTCAATTTGGTTAAACGCAAACATACACGCGTATTTTTCATATGTACATAAGATAAGATATAGATGGACAGCCACCAAACTGCTAATGAAGGTCCCCCACTGTGAGTGGGAAAGGGGGCTGGAAAACAAGACTTTCAGTCTATATTCTTCTTTAATTTCAATTTTAAGTATGTATTTGCTTTGGATTAAAAAAAAAAAAAAGACCAACCTCCCTTCTCTTTTCTTCTTTCTAAACAGAACAGGACACGAGCAGAATGTGCAGGGCCCACGTGGACACACACTTCCCCCGGAAGTCCCCGATTCCTTTTCTTGCTCTCTCACCAGCCCCCACGCTTTGGCTTCGGCCCCCACCACTGCACTCGCTGCAAGAGCTCTGGCGGGCACCCCAGTGATGCCCTCGGCATGGCCGACCCAGGGCCGCCTTGCATACTCCCCACGCCTGCCCGATCGGGAGCCTCCTCCCTCCTCCCTCCTCCGCCCTCCTGCCTCGCCCCATCTCCACGCTTTCTGCTCACCCCGCACCCGCTGGTGCTCCCGTGGCTGCATCCTCGGTCCCCAGCCCACCCTGCACACCATGCCTGCCTGACCACGGTCCAAGGCTGCCCCCTCCCACTCGGGGCGACTGTCCACCCACCCACGATGCGTCTCCACTCCAGGTTTTCTAGGAGACTCAAGCCATCTTCTCCAAACCGAGCTCATCGGCGTCCTCCACACTCCAGGATCCACCCGAATCTCCGCCCCGGTGCGGTACGGGACTGTATCCACCCAGCGTCCGAGCCAGACAGCTGGACGTCACATCGCTGCCGCCTCCTCCCTCCACGCGAACCGACCGCTGGGGACTGCTGACTCTACCTCACACCAGTGTCTTCTGCAATGTCTCTGCTGCCTCCCCCGCTGCCCCGGCTCCCACAGCTCCCTGGTCTGGAGGGGTGGTTCCGGGAGTCAGCTCTGCAAGACCCCTCTCCCGCCCCCACCGCTCTCTCCGGCCACCTCGCTCACCGCTTCGTGCCTCACGCACAACGCGTGGTCCCAACCGACCCACAGTTCCCTGAACAACACGGCGCTGCTCCTTCACGCACGGCTGTCCTCTCCGCCTCAGACCCTCAGACCCGTGATCAGCCAGCGTTCCCCTGACCGGCTCCTCCTGCCGCCAGAGGCCGTTTCCAAGCCGGGCAAAGCACGCATCCGCCCCGGAGGTTTCTAGGCGGCTTCTCGGCCTCCCCTCTGGAACCAACATTTGGGGGGAGCGGGGCGCAGGGGAGACCGGAATATGTATTTTGGTTCTTTTCGCACCGTACGGCCCCCTCCAGTGCTCACAGCCCATCAGCCAGGAAGCTGGGCATTGGTTCGGGCTGCACACGCCTCTGGCACACGTAAACTCTGGGCCCCACAGACGAGTGTCCGCCATCAGGGCGCCACCAGGCAACCGGAGCATGTATTCTGAAAAGCTTCCTCGGGTAATTCGCCATCCTTCCGTGTGGGGCAACAAGTCGAGTTCTCCATCTAGGTCAAGCATCTACAAACATGGGCAGCAGCACCGGCGTCCTGCCTCAGACCACAGGTGACCCGACCGAACGAGGACACCGTCGACGCACGCGCCACCTGTCCGGCAGCCCCCTCCCCAGGCAACCCCCACTCCCACCGGCAGCCTGCAGAAGCAGGGGTGCCGACGGGGTTTGGGGTTCGGATTCAACCTGCCGTATTGCCAAAATGAAGGCACTCAGACACCTCCACACGTTAAGTCGGTTCCTAACGGCACCCCACGCACCAGAGGTAAGAGCACACCCCGCTCAGGGGCGACGCCCCGGGCTCCGCAGCTCCCGTCCACCCGCACCTTTATCTTCCGCACAAACTTCCTCGTGGAACAGCCTACGTTCTCCACCTCTGCCTCCTGCGCGTCATACACCCAAGTTTTTGGAGCCCATCCCCCCTTCTCCTCACGGGTCCCCAACTGCTCTCAAGGATCAGCGAGGCTGGGCAGCGCTCGGAACCCACAGATCCCGGGCCCCCGCCTCTCTCCTGTACCGGGTCCCCTGCCTGGGATCCACAGTCACCAGCATCAGGCGCCCAGGCCCAGTCTGGTCTCCCGGAACTAGACTCTGCTAAAGACTGAGGCACCAAAGCCCCGTCATCTTGAACTGGTTCTGTCCAAAAACCGAACGTGATTTTTATTTGGAGGAGAAAAACAAAATAAACACCACCTTAGCGTTTCCTCAAATCTGCGGACGGACCAGGTTGAAAACGCACCATGCCAAATGTTTACAGCAGCTCCATCCAGAATTGTCAAAACCTGGAAGCAACCAAGACACCTCCAGCAGGTGGATGGACGACCAAGCGGGGGCCACCCAGACGACGGAGTATTATCCGGTGCCGAAAAGATGTGAGCTCTCAAGCCACAAAAAGGCATGGAAGAACCGAAAATGAATTCAAGGGGAAGAAGTCAATCTGAGAAGGTCACACACTGCAGGGCCCAACTCGATGACATTCTGGAAAAGGCGGAACCACGGACACGGTAAAGAGATCAGGGGTTGCCAGGGGTTAGAAGGGAAGGAAGGATGAACAGAGCACCAAGTCTCAGGGCAACGACTACTCTGTAGGACGGTCACTGTCCATTCGTCTACACCACAGGACGTGCGCCACCAACAGGAACCGCGATGGCAAGCATGGGCTCTGGGTGATGACGACGGTCAGTGTCGATTCGCGGACTGTCACAGATGTGCCACCCTGGTGGGACGTGGACGGTGGGGGAGGCTGTGCGTGGCGGGGGCAGCAGGAGGCACGAGGGCGATCTCTGTATCTCCCCCTCAATTTTGCGCTGACCCCAAAACTGCTTTAGAAAGCATAAGATCTATTAAGAAAGTAGTAACTGTGCCAGTCTTCTGCCTTGGGCTTAGCGATCAGCGTCACTAATCCCAAACCACCTTCACTGAGGGCTGAACCCAAAGATCTCGCCACAGGACGCGGTCGGTTTACCGGCTACGGTGACCCCGACAGGTGGCGTTCGCACACACAGCCCCGGCCTGCCCGCGGTGAGAGCGAATCGTTTCTGACAACCTGCCGAGCTTTGTTCTCTCGGCATCACGTTTTCGAGGTTCGCCGGTGGTGGATGTGTGTCGGGGCCGGCACCCGTGCTCGGGGCCGGATGATACTCCTCCTCCGTGCGGGCGGAGCGCGTTCTGCTGCCCAGTCACCCGCTCACAGACGTCTGAGCGCTTCTGCTTTGTGGCTCTCGTGAACAACACCGCCGTGAACTCTCCCATACGAGTTTTTATGTGGATCTGTGTATTCTCCTCTTGGCACACTGAGAGGAGACACGCTTCTCTCCAAGGTAAATGAGCGCAGCCCCCCCTAGCGTCTGACTTCGGGCTTAAATGTGCGGCTGGCTCAGCCGTCGCTCTTTTCTTGTTTGGAAGGCCCGGCCTTTTAGGCAAAAGGTGCTGTCTCCTCACGGGCAGCGGGTACGAGTCTTGCGTCCCGTGCTGTTGTTACCTTTCTGCTGCAGAGCGAACCGAACTGGGTGTGGTGGTTACTCGCGAGGAGGGAAACAAAGGCAAAGAAAACTGTGACCTAAATTATGTTTTCTTACAGCTGGCAGCCACTGACGGACACCTGCTGAACCGCGCAGGGCGTGGTCTTCCTTAAGGAACTCAACGGCAGCCTGCGTGCTTTTATTAAAGGCTAAAAGTAACCTTATCTTGAGAGCAGCTAGCCCCCCAGGGTCCTGAAAGCCTTGCTTGCAAATCTCGTAGAGACTTCTGCTATCCTGGGGTGCCTGACGGCAAAGTAGGTGGAGCATTCAACGCCTTGATTTTGGTCCAGATCATGACCTCACAGCCCGCGAGTTCGAGCCCTGGATCGGGCTCTGCGCTAACAGTGCAGAGCCTGCTCGGGATTCTCTCTCTGTCTCCTCTCTTCTCTCAACATAAACACTTAAAAAAGAGAGAGACTTCTGCTCTCCCTAACCCCCACTAATCAAAAAGTACATCATCAGTCACTCCTCACAATCCTAGTGCGGCTCTCTCTGTCCCCGTGCCGTAATAAAATCGCCTTTTTGCCCCAAAAAAAGTCTCAAGAATTCTTTGTTAGCTGTTTGCTTGTGGACCCCACTTCGTAATTTCATCAAGTAGCATTTCCGTATTTGAACACAAATAATTTCTTACACTTAGTCAAGACAACGGCGAGTATGAATGCACAGACATATTTCAGAAGTGTATAATATTAATGAAACGTTCACAGGTAAAAACATTACAATTAAATTTTAGAACTGAGCTGGGGGGGGCAGGGGAAAATCCAACTAATGAAATGGAAAAGCAAGCGCAGAAATTCTGCTCAAATAGGAATGAGTGCGTCCTGGAATCTTCTACGTAGGGTTTTTTGTTTGTTTGTTTGTTTTTTTAATATGACATCATTAGCTTAGAAGAGTTTCGGATCAATTAAAAACACGAGAAAGTAGTAAGATGGAAACAACATGAAGCACACTAACGCCCAGTCCATGTTTACAGGTTTCGAGCTTCGCGGCGGAGTATGCTGTTTTTGGCACTGTTCACACTCACTGGGGTTTAAGATGGCTTTCATTTCAAGGATTTCATTTCACAGATGTATGCATCTGCCGAGAAATTACTGAATCATAAACTGTCTTTAAAGTACGCGACCATGAGTTCGAGCCCCGCATCGGGCTCTGTGCTGACAGCTCAGAGCCTGGAGCCTGTTTCGGATTCTGTGTCTCCCTCCCTCTCTGACCCTCCCCCATTCACGCTCTGTCTTTGTCTCAAAAATAAACAAATGTGTAAAAAAAAAATTTTTTTTTTTTTTTTTTAAAAGTACGCAACCAAAAATGGCTGTCTGACCTCGACAGTTTAAAGCCAAAATTAGGAACAGTGTAAGATCCATTATTTCCACAGAGGTGTTTTAGTCATGATAAACTTTTTTAAAAACCAGTAACCGCAGCAGCACTGGAAGGGGGCTTAGGCCAGAACTTTTTCTTATACAAACCTTTAAACATTTTCTTTTTTAATGTTTATTTAGTTTTGAGACAGAGAGACAGAGCATGAACGTGGGAGGGTCAGAGAGAGGGGGACACAGAATCCGAAACAGGCTCCAGGCTCTGAGAGGTCCACACAGAGCCTGATGCGGGGCTCGAACTCACGGACCGCGAGATCGTGAGATCGTGACCTGAGCCGAAGTCGGCTGCTTAACCGACTGAGCCACCCAGGCGCCCCTCTTACACAAACCTTTAAAAAAAAATGTTTTTAACGCTTTATTTTTTGAGAGAAAGAGAAGGAGCGAGAGAGCAAGCATAAGCAGGGGAGGGGCAGAGAGAGAGGTGGGGGACACAGAATCCGAAGCAGGATCCAGGCTCTGGGCTAAAGCCCAGAGCCCCATGCAGGGCTCGAACCCACGAACCGTGAGATGGTGACCTGAGCCAAAGTCACTCAACGAACTGAGCC